CCTTTCCAGACATGTGAGCAGACATACCAAGGTTTGCAATGGCACCAGGATTCTTTACTAATTCCTAAAGCCCACTGGCACTGTTGCATGGACTGAAAGGGAAGCATATGTAGCTTTACTGTCAAGAAAATTACTAGATCCATACATTGTTTGGACCTAACGCATAATCCTTTCCATTGATAAAATTATGTTGAGTGTGCCTTGCTGGAAATCCACAAGTTCAGGGCTTCATCAAACCATTGCTTTTTCCCTTTTCTGGTTTTCCTTTAATTTGCAAATCTTGTAATCTAAGCCTAGAGCTGACTGAACCAACTTCTTAACCATCACGGCTATAGCGGCCAAGGCTTCAATCTGTTTTTCATTTAAGTGTCAAGACGGCATCCTTTTTAGTGGTTAACAAAAGCTGTTATTTGAAAATGATTATATGCTAAAAATTGTGTGAGGAAGTTTATGAACAGGCCCAATGGAAAGTACTGCGCCGCACCCGGAAGCCTTTTTCCTTTTCGTCTTCGACCAGAGTGTTATTTACCAAGCACTTCTGTAGGGAGAAGAACCACGATGTGCCATTTAGCCGGAGGTCAGGGTTTCTGCTTTTCAACACAGTGCATGTTTTCAACATTAGTGTCAAGCGACGCCTGGGTGATTCGCCAAACCGTTAAAACGCTGCCTGTCTCTGTGTCACTGAGGACATATGAAAAGCAGAAGCAACGGCAACAGGAAAACATCGAGAAGGTGGTCTCCATTAAGGCACAGCTTAAGACAGCCTTCCTCATTTCATTTCCATCGAAGGGTAGATTTGAGTTAAATGTTTTGATTCTCTGAAACAGGCGTTTGGAAATGGGGAAGAGTAGTGAATAAACTGGAGAAGAGAGTACAAGATACCTTGAGTTTGTCGCTTTTTAAATTAACTTTCTTTTATTAAACAATGAAATGACAATACCAGTCCCAACTGGAGTTAGGGGACTGTAGTGAATTATATAGGTTGTAGTGCATGTAAATGGTCTACAAAGGCTAAAATCCCTGTATTCCCTCCAGAGGGAGTTTCTCTCCCACACACTCCCCCTCTACCTGAATCGCTTCTATTGGACTTCATTTACTTATTTTACACAGTGACATCACTATGTAACACTCAAGCTTCTATTGGCCAGCGCTTCTACACATTGAACATGATAGGCTAAGGGGCGGGACTTTTCCGACACAACTCTAAGCGTTTGACAAATCACAACAGAGGCGTCCATCCAACCAATCAGAGCAGACTTGGCTCTGGTTTCAGACAGAGGGTGAAGAGAGGTGCTGCAGCACAGGCAGTATGAGAGAAATAAAGAGCTTTTTGAACATTAAAGCATGGAGACATGTCCCAGTGGAGACACAAAATACAAATATGAACCTGATAATAAGAATAATATGTCCTCTTTGGATCTCCTTTCTGTCTGCCAAAGGGGTGTCCAGGTAATGCTTGCATGCCAACCATAGGGGTCAGTGTTTCCCCTACCATTGTCTTGGCAGGGCCCTGCCTGAAATTCAAGTTGTTGTTTTTTTGTTTGTTTTTTTTATTTACATTTTTTTTTTGTATTATTTATAAAAAAATATATATATATATANNNNTCTAATGAGTTGGGTGAAAAAAAAGACAGGAGATGTGAGTTGGTTTATTCAGTAAATTAGCTCAGGATAATTGGATGTTCTGTCACTTGTTGATGTGAGGCTAATGCAGGATTTGCTAGCTTGATGCCAAGGCATTTAGCGGCAGTGACTCAACAAATTGCCACTTAAAATGTATCGTCAGTAATGTATGACAAGCAGACTGCTTGTTTAATGTTAGACTCACACCAATAGCTCAATATGATCATAACACGATTGCTTTCATATCAGAGATCAGATGAGGTGGAGCTGCCTTCAGCAATTGAGGATGAGGCAGAGAGAAGCAGCAGCAGCAGCACAGGGTTGCAGCAGGTATGTTATATGCTGTAGTCAGTTGATTTAAATGTATCAATGAAAGGAAGAAGTGTAGGCTACATGATAAGAAGGGAATACAGTTTGAATTAAAGTACAGTGTAACACTGTACTTTATTACTTTTTAATGTACAAATACTTTGTTACTGTACGATATCAATAACAACTAGAGAATGCAATTCCTGAAGAAATTGCTAGTGGGAATGCTTTATGCTGAAAATGTGATGCTAAACTGCTATGCTGAAATGTAATGTGTAAGAAGAAAGTGAAGAATTTAGATTAAAATGATACATGAACAGTGGGGGCTTGAATGTGTGATGAGAGAAGAAAAGAAAGTACTGTAAAAAGGCTTGGAAAAGCCGCAGAATATTTGAACGGCAAACTTGTGAACTAACTTGATGGCGAATTATCTGTCGCCATGGCAACGGCATTTGACGACACGGGATGGCTGGACTGTTAGTACACATGTGAATTTTGAGCACTTTTTAAACATTTTCATAGGAGTTATAGCGACATCATGTTTATGGCGAGGGATGCGTTTCCATGGAAACGGCTTATGGTGAAATCTCAGATTTGGTGTAGAGCTGTTGAGGCATGGACCGGTGATATACAAGTGAAGATTGGGGGACGATTGGACCGTGTCGATAGGATTTACACCCACATCGTGTTTCATGGCGAGTGGTCCGTCGCCATGGCAACGGCATTTGATGACACCCCATACTACGCTTAGATGCGTTGATGGCTGCATCGTTACCAAACCTGTGAAGTTCTAGGCTGTTATGAGTATTTTCACTGAAGTTATGAGGAAACCGTGTTTCAAGGCGAGCATTGTGTTGCCATGGCAACGGCATTTGAAGATATCTTAAAACTGTCCTGTAGATGTCTTCACGGCTGGACTAGCACACTGCTATCTGAAGTCTGCTGCTCTGAGCATGTCAGTTGGAGTGATGACATCATCGTGTTCCATTACACAGGTGTTTATAGTTGAGCTAACGAGCTCTGTAGAGATCAAAGGCTTCATTTTTCTGAATGAGAGATAAACCTCTTACATGTGAACGTTTAGTGGAAGAACCGTAACAGATATCTGTGAAATTTCAAAACGTGAAGCATGTCAAGGAAGTTGAGTATCTGAAGTGTAATTTGTGTGTACTTTCGGGTTAATAATGTGGCCTTTTTGGCAGTTTAACTAAAGGTGTGCGGCTGCTGCCGTGAGGAAATATCTGCCTGAAATTACAATGGGGTTTAATGGAGGAATGTTGAATGTTTTTGTCACTTCATGCCCTCAAAAAGCATTTTGTTTCATTATTTTTGCTTAATTATTTGTCTTTTTTCAAGCTACGAGATGTATTCCTACGTTTGTCATGAACAATTATGTGTAGGAATGTAGGGTTTGGGAATTATGGCAGTTTTTTTTTTAAATATGAAGGCAAATTTCAAGATTTTCTACCCTCTAGCTGTGACATGACATCAAGCACTCTAGTTAATGTTAACATCTGAAGAAAACCTCTTTAACAAGGCCTGAACAATTTTTAATATCTCTATAAGTAAGAATCAGATTTAAAAGCTGTTTAACACGAATTATGTCAGAAAGATGTGTAACATTTTAAAGTTGGAATGAGGTTTCTGAGTGCAAGTATGAATGAACAGTTAGCAGTTGAAGTCGCATGAAGATTTGTTGAAGTCTGAAGAATTTCTCCATTGACTTCAATGGTTAAAAATGGGATGTATAATGGGATGTATCTCTGGAATTATGAAAGTTATGAATGAGAAAAGTAATAGCCATCGATTCCCGACCGAGCTGAACGTTTTGATTTTTGAACGGAGTTTCTGCGATGTTCAATGCGGGAGGAGAAGAGGGCCAAAATAAGCCGGCGGAATAATAATAAAAATGTTGTCCGTAGAAGAACAGTTAGTGGGAATGCTGTTAACAGCATTCCCACTAAATAATCCACAGCTCCTCTCTCTGCTCCAGAGGATAAAAAAAATCTGGGTGCCCCGAAAAAAATGTTCGGGGTACCCGAGCAGCACCCTGCCAAGGCAGTAAACCTAAGGGAAACACTGGGGGTATTACAAATCCATGAATCAATTAGCAGCCCACGTCACTGGCTAAGCTCCAGTTGGCTGCGTATGAAGTGTTTATAACAATAAGTTGGATGGGTGATAAATGGAGAGGATTGTAAAAAATATTAAATCTTGGCCATGATATATTTATAACATTTGTCAAATAATCACATTAGAAAACATGTCCTGGGTAACATATGGTAAGCATGTATTTAAAAAAAAACATAATATAATTAAAACTGCACTAATAAATAAATTAGAACAATGGGAAAGTGATTCATTCCTAACTTAGTTCAGATCTAGAGGTTTGGTTTAGAAACTCAACTGTTTTAAGAAAAATAGACTCTGATAAACCCAATGCCCAAAAACAAGGCACATTTAGCTTTCTGGACAGTTTTGTTTTGTGGGGGGAGAACTTAATTTTGGCCTAACTAGTGCCTGACGTATGAAGCTGCTAGAAAGTCAACTTAAAAACGAATTCTATCAACATAGGAAACTATTGTTATCCATCACATATTACGTAAGGCATTTTTATCCTTAATTAGAACAGAATAGAATAGAATAATTTAATGTCATTATACATGTACAATGAAAGAAAGAAAAGCTTCTCCCTTTTAAAAGGTGCCATCAAAACAAAAACATCACAACATACGACAACAAATACACGCAGCATACATACTTAAGTAAGAATAAAGAATAAAGCGCAGTAATTATTTCCAGGGGTATAAAATTGCTACATGAATTGGGGAAATCATGTTGCCATTGTAATTGTTTATTTTACCCATTAGGCGAAAATAATGTATTGCAGTGGTATGAAGATATTTGAGATTTTTATCCCAGCCGAATATAATTTAACGAATAGTAACTCATATTTGGCTGATGGAATCTGCAATAGTGACTACAATGGTTGTATTATAAGTGTTAAGTTAAAACACCCTGTTGGGTAAGGTAGTGATGTCATCTTTTACTATGATACTGGAACTTACCCAGAGGAACCCGTGCTCTTGCACACCCCCAGCAGAGGTCTCTTGTCAGCAAAACTGTCCATCTTCAGAGGACCTGAAGAGGAAGAGAAGTCAAAGGAAGATGGTTGAGAAAAACTGAATAATCTCAACAACAAAGAGGGACATTCTTTAATCTAACAAGTGAGGCCTCTAGTGTTACCAACGCCGGAAGCCTTGCGATGACAGGAAATATGTAAATCATTACTGTTGCACTGTAATTCAATTACGGTCACAAAACATTTTCAAGAAAAGAAGACATTTTTCCCAAGATTGTGCCATTTTAAGCAAGTGAGCCGACCACTATCCTTTAAAGGTCCCCTATTATACTGTTTTTCATCAATATATCACAGGTCTCAGATACATACAAACATGTCTCTGAAGTGTTTGGCTTCAAACACCAAACAGATCATTGTAACATCCCATAAACCCCTCTGTGTCAAAAGTGCTGATTCTCTGTCTGTTACTTTAGATGAAAATAAGGAGCCACTTCCCACGCCCCTCTGAGAGATATTTGGTTAGAAAGAACACAATGGTGCTCTAGGAGGAGATTCAGGTGATAAGGTGGGGGTTACCTTGGTTGGTGATTGGCTAATTGGTTACACAAGGGAGCGAATTCATTTCACCTGAAACTTTCAGAATCTCTTTACATGTTTATGTATAAAAGATATGAAAAAGTGGATTTTGCTTAATAGGTGACCTTTAAAGAAAAGTGGAAAGCACAGTTGGTATCGACTTTGGATTGCTAAAATTGTTCTGATCCTTCACTGTGTGAGGTTTCTAAGGAAACTTTACCCCAAAAAGAGCTAAGGACAGAAAAACTATTAAAAAAATTGAAGATAAATGTGCTGAATGGTAAAAAAAAAAAAAAAGGAATTACAAATGTTTTGTCTATGTCCTTGTTTATTTTGGGGATTCAGGGTGGAATTACAGCACTGTAAAACCCAGCAGGCACAAAACAAAGACATTTAGAGAAAATATGTTGCGTTAATATTTTCCCTGATTGTCTCATTCATGAAGACGGACAGAGGATCAGGGGATTGTGGGCAGGGGGACGCTTAGTTTGAGGAAGACGTTAGCCTTTGGGGTTCTGTAATTTCAGGCTTGACAATAATCAGGCCCAGTTCCTGTATTGTAGCATGAGAGCAAATGTGACTTCCCTAGCAGCCTTTAACACTCCACACAGGGTCCTTCCTTCTTTCATGTGTCTGTCATCAGTCAACATTTTGAGCCATAACATAAATATCCCTTTAAGAGGATTAGTGAAAAAGTCACAACATTTGATGATAAAAGATGCTTTTATTTGATCGAAACAAGCACTACTGACTTCCATGCAGACGTTTGCATGTTTCAATGTAACAGAGGGACGTGCTGTATGTTGAGATAATACTGTAACATGGATTAAAACCTTTCAGACAACTTGGTTGTTGTTAAACGTTTAAGTATTTTTAGAACTGCTGTCAATCGATTAACATTTATTATAACATGTATTTTGGGAGAAGATCAAACAAATACACGTGTGGTGCTATAAAAAAGCTGGTAAGGGAACCATTTTTTAAAACTACCGTATATTATAACATCTTAGCTTACTTTTGCCCATACTATGTGATCACCCTCTGTATAATGTGCACAGAGTATATTCTTGTATTGTTGCTGCCGATACGTTGTTGCGAGCACTCTCTGTTCCTACAGTGGGGATCTTGCTCGCTATCTCGCACTCATGTTCAACTTCAATAAACTGGCTAGCTCTTGTTTCAGCAACAATCCTAACCTCCATTTTTAACCACACCTCAAGTGAACAAGTGCACAACATTTGTCACGAATTAGATGTGCCGTACACCAAGGTAGTTATGTTGCTAACTGAAGTCCAGTGGTCTCCAGTCAGTGCAATACATGTAGCTTGTGCCAATTCCTCTGTTTTTTTTTTCCCTTTTCATTGCCATGGTGAATATCCACGCTGGAATTGTGAGAGCAAGTTTCGGTCGAACTTGGTAATCTGATTAATTTTCTTATTAACGCAATAAGATTAACCTCGAGCATTTACGCATTAACGTTGACAGCCCTACTTTATAGTGTTGGAGCATCCCAACTGTAGCTTTATTTTGAAGACATACAACAGTTCTGTGCCTCATTTCACAAGGGAGCAGAAGATCACAGGTCGTAAACTCTGGAGCGGATGTGGATAAATGCATTTACTCCCTTTGGAAAACCATTCCTTCCCTCTCTATTCTAGGAAAGGGTAACCTTGTCTTATTATAATCAACACCTATTTTCGGGTATTTCTAAGTCCGCCCGCCCACGGCCTTGCATGGCAGACAATCGGCCTTTTAATGTCTCACCACAGTGAACCACTGTTCTCGCCCTAGCAGATTGCAATCAGTGTCCTTCCCTCCAGTCGTACAATTCATATTTATTTTCTACGGAGAGAATTGCTCCCCTCATGTATTGGGGCTATCTGCTGCTTCTGATTACTGTGGTTTGCTTTCATCCACTTCCAGTGCTCTTCAAATGCCGCCATTGTGTGTTGTTGAAATCTGCCAAAAGACCGGAACCAGGACGTAGAACAGAAAGGCGATTTTCTCACAAACAATGGCACAAACCAAAGAGCTGCTTTCTAGGCAGTATTCTAGGCACTGATTGACACCTGCAGAGATAAAATGTAAACTTCATGTCTGGAATGTATCTAATCAGTGGATCCACTAACCAATTTGCCCCTTAGCCTTTAAGAGTTCAACAATGAAAAAGAGTAAAACGTGCAATTGTTTATCAGCATATGAACATGTATGCAATATCAATTAAGTATGTTTGTGTCAAAATCACTAATTAAAATTATAGGAAAAAAGTCAGTGAATATAGCAGTTGTGAAATATAAATTGATTTTAATGTATAACTTCACACAACTTGATGTGCATCATTTCTTGCATTTGGTAATTATTACTGAACATTTGGTTAAGATTGCAAAACATTACAGCTTCTGATGGGAAGCAACAATGGCTTCTCATGATGGCAATAAATGTAAGTATTTGTGTACATTTAAACAATATTACTTTCCGGACCAGGTTTTGTACCCATTCTATTAGCATGACTTTTTCTGCATCACCTGTTAAATCAAATGTGTATTTATATCCAAGAAATACAACAAGATCAATAATTATGTACTAATGTAAGTGTGTGTGCGTGCGTGTGCGTGTGTGTGTGTGTGTGTGTGTGTGTGTGTGTGGAGACGAGAGACATGGATGTCTACAATACATTTTTTCTTCTCTACATGCCCTTATATTGAAAAAACAGGTACACAAAAATAAATGTCTTCACATCCATACACACGTCTTCACATACACACACACACGTCTTCACATACACACGTCTTCACATACACACACCCACGTATAAAATATAATGTATTTTATAGCAGTTTCAGCAAGGGGGCACTTCTGTATACAGTGAAGCCAGAGCAGCTTTGGCAGCAGGAGAGCTGCAGCTGACTGCAGAGGCTCGCTGCCACAGACCAACACTAAGCGTTGATTGACTTTAGGATGTAGCAGGGTGGAGCACTGTTTAATTTTTATGATATAGCAACAGTTAAAAGCCCAAAAACCAAAACTGCATTAGATTGTGCCATAAAAAGTACATTTAATAATAGACCTTGAAATTGAAGTTATCCAATACGGGACAGATATTTGAAATATATTTTGAAAATACTCTTCCAAGGACTTAAGAAAACATATTGAAAAGAACAGACAGTTACTTCTGCAAATGTATTTCGATTTTTGAAGATTTGAAAAGATAGACTTTGTGTTATTTTGTGTTTTACCTGCAAGTTATGCAAACCAAATACTTTGATGTTCCCCTTTGGTTTAGTGTTAGGGTTAGGCTGCACAGAGACTGATTATTTGTTGGAGAGAAACCTGCTAGTGGTTTCTTTATGTTTCTTTATGTGTCTTTATGTTTCTATCTGTCTTTACAGTAAAGTCAATCTTCCTATCTGAAAAATGTATATCAATTGAAAAGGGTGTTATTATGATAAACATATGAAATGATATTAGTTAAAATACCAAAACAAACTAAAACACCATGTGTACCATGTTGTAAATGCATTGAATAGACCCTCCAGAAAAACGCGGGCAAAAATCCTTGATTATGCGGGCTAAATTCCTTGATTATGCGGGCTAAAATCCTTGATTATGCGATTAAACATGCGGGGTTTTATGTGATTTTATGCGGTGAAATTGCGGGAAGTTAGGAAATATCCGGAAAGTTGCGAAATATGCTAAATATGCGGGAAAAAAGAATAACAATTTTTTTAAATATTGGGCTGTCTTATTTATTCTCTCTCACACACAACCTGCCACTAACGTTAAACCCCTTTACTATTCAATTAAACACATTCAATGTTTATTTATTGTAAAAGCAATTGGGCTATTTTAATCTCACACACACACACACACACACACACACACACACACACACACACACACACACACACACACACACACACACACACACACACACACACACACACACTACCTACCCCTAGAGGACGA